GCGATTCGCGATTTTGCGCTATCATACTGGGTGTATGGTCGGCTGTGTGCGATTTTGCGAGTGTGGTAAAATCGCATAACAGCCGAGCATACACCCAGCAGCGCTGCTGATGCCTGTATGTGGAATGAAGTGGGCGGGCATCGGGAGGCCACTATGGCACGGGGCAAGCACTATGGGCAGTCTATCTGAAGTGTACCTGGCGTATAAGACGACCCCCCACTTGGAGGCATATTTTTCAGGGCCAAAAAAATCGTCTTATACGCCAGCAAATACGGTAACACTCCTGAGTCTTTCCGTGGAGAAACACTGAGTCTCCTTCTATGCTGAAGTCTTTTCTTTCATAGTAAAATTGTGTAATTCTGGTTTTCTTTTTAGCCATCCTAAAGTACTCCTGCAAGTATGTCACGAGAGTTTTTGTCACTATTGTGAACATTCCTCCATCCTTCCCAGCCCCACCCTGCCCCTCCCACACAAATATTTTGAACCTTCATTTTGCAATTCATTCATTTCAGAAGTATTTATGGAGTGTATACTCTAGCGCAGTGATTCTCAACCTTCCTAATGCCACGACCCTTTAATACAGTTCCTCATGTTGTGGTGACCCCCAATTTCATTGTTACAAATTGAACATAATTAAAGCATAGTGATTAATCAAAAAAAATATGTAATTATATATGTTTTCTGGTGGTCTTAGGCGACCCCTGTGAAAGGGTTGTTTGACCCCCAAAGGGGTTGCGACCCACAGGTTGAGAACCGCTGCTCTGTCAGTTTCTGTCACTAGGTACACGGACAACAGAACACCCTGGTCCCTGCCTGTGTGGAGTACGTAATCTAGATGGAAAGGCTCAAAAAAATTTTGCCAGGTTTTGACTGTGAATTGTTATCTTGGTTGTTCATGGTAGCATGATTTTTTGTCATTTCCTCTAGTTGCATAGTTACCTATGGGTGGTTGGAGAGGCTCCGGCAGAAGCCATGCCTGTGACGCAGTGTTTAGCAGAAGTGGCCGACGTGGTTATGGAGGGTTCTTTGTTTATTCAGATATGCTAATTTAGAAATTAATTTCCTTTTATCTCTTATGTTTTTGAAATCAGCCAAAATGAGAAAACAAGTTTGATTTATCTTATAAGCAATATAGGCACTGAATTAAAAATGTCCATTTTCAGACTTTTGGTTGAGATCTAATGATCAATATTATGTATGTAGCTGCCTGTTCAAGTTTAGAAAGTTCTGACCTAAAAGTGTTCCCAAATATTTTTTCAGCCACAGGTGCTAGAAATCATCCAATTGAATAGAATTAACTTAAACAAATTTTTTTTCCAGAAAAATTTGCAAGAAGAAATTGACGCCTTAGAATCCAGAGTGGAATCCATTCAGCGGGTGTTAGCGGACTTGAAAGTTCAGTTATATGCAAAATTTGGGAGCAACATAAATCTTGAAGCTGATGAAAGCTAAACATTTTATATTACCTTTAAAATTTGTTTAATAAACTTGAATATTGTTTAAATGATAATTTTCCTTTTTCAAATGATATGGAAAGCAAAACTTTCTTTTTTAAAAAAGATTTCATTTATTTAATGGAAACTTGCCTATTTTCACATGTCTTGCTTATTTATTTTATATTTTTAAAAGAAGACAGTATTCATCTATGTATTTTGCATAATGATTCTATCAAGTGTAGGGGTTTTGTGTCATGTTATTAAAATCAGTTAAGCAATCTTTTATGTTTCTATATTATCATTTAGAACATCTGTTGCAATTTTTATCAGAAAATTTAACAGTTGTGTCGTGTTGTTTATATGTGTCTGTTACAGTTGCTTTTTAGAGTTGGTGAAAGAACTCCAGAAAGATCTAATCTTATACCTGTCTACTCACTTCACACCTGAAACTTTGTCATGTACTGAAAAAATATGTATATATTTTATTTAAATACATGCAATATATATTATATCTAAGCATATATATTTCACTTTTCTCTTACATACAAGTATCATGGATCTTTGGAAAAGAGCCAGCTCATGCTGAGACTTGTTGAGCTTCCTAGAAAAGTAGAGCAGAACCACATAAGAATATTCTAGAAACCAAGAGATGTATCAATAGAAATGTTTAGTGTGTTTTAAAAATTACGTTTCAGACTTTATTTTAGTGCTTTGTAATTAATTGGGGTTTATATTGGTGATGATGTAGAAGTTAAGAAGCTGTGTATTTAAAAATAAGGCTTTTTTCTTAAATAAAGACCACATTTATCCTCTCCAGCCCCCTAAAAGACATATATTTTGGGATTTAGAAACCTAATGGTATATTAACTTCCCAGCAGATGGCACTGATATATCAAAATACCTATGGAAGGATCATAATACAAAAATGAGGCTATTTCTAGGATTAAATATACATAATTTTAAGAGGAAATGTCATTTTTAACCTTCAAGGCTAAGCATTACATACTATATTTTTTGGTCTAATGTTCAGCAACAGTTTAGGCTTAAAGATAGAATTCTAAAATTCATAAAGGCAACTTTTAAATTGCTGCAAAAGGTTTCCAGACAGTGATACTCAAATTCTGGAAAATGCCTGGTGAAAGGATATTTTTTTTTACATGCCTTTGGTGAGTGTTCACTTAGAGGCGTGAGGCTGGGGGGATGTATCAGCCAGGTTGTAGCAGGAAGTACATCACTTAGAACAATTTCAGAAAACTTTGGCCAAGGTTACAAAGGTGGAGCATTCTGTGCCCTCAGAGGCCCAGGGAGGGAGCAGCCACGCCCTTCACCCGGGAAGGGCTGCCTTCATCCAGGGGGGACACAGCCTGTGACATCCCTGCAGCAAGAGAACCAGAGACTGGACTCTGACCCCTTCTCTCCCCAGAACCCAGCTGGT